ATGAAATTTTAGCACATGCTACAACATGAGTGAATCTTTGAAACATTATGCTAAGGGAAATACACCAGATACAACAGGACAGGTATTATATAATTTCACTCAATTTATGTACACAGAATTGTCAAGATTGTAGATACAAGAATGGTAGCCGGCGCCGTGGCTCACTAGGCTAATCCTCCGCCTTGCAGCGCCGGCACACCGGGTTCTAGTCCTGGTCAGGGCGCCAGATTCTGTCCCGGTTGCCCCTCTCCAAGCCAGCTCACTGCTGTGGCCCAGGAGTGCAGTGGAGGATGGCCCAAGTGCTTGGGCTCTGCACCCCATGGGAGACCAGGATAAGTACCTGGCTCCTGACATTGGATCAGCGCGGTGCGCCGGCTGCAGCGTGCCGGCCACAGCGGCCATTGGAGGGTGAACAAACAGCAAAAGGAAGACCTTTCTGTCTCTCTCTCTCACTCTGCCTGTCAAAAAAAAAAAAAAAAAAATTGCCTGATGAAGTCAAAGTAACAAAGTGATCATCTTAAAGAAGGTCAGTGTATAAGAGAACAAAGATAGAAAACAATGATATCAGAGAGACTATAATGATGGTTGCTAGGAGCTGGGGGAAATTGGAAATGGGGAGCTGTTAAACAAAAGGGATAATGTGTCAGTTATGAAAGACAAATAATTTCTAGAGTGTATGTAGCTAATGATACTGTAATTTATACTTCACATTTATTACCAAGGCAGATTGTAAATACACCATTGCCAAAAAAGAAAACACTTAAACAATAATTAAAGGGACAGAAGGAAACTTTGAGAACTGATGGAAATATTTATGGCTTTGATGGTACTGATAATTCATGGGTGAATACTTATTACCAAACTCATCAAGACATATACAATAAATATGTACAACTTTAAACATGAATAAAGTGTTCTAAAAAGAGTTTTATTTAATTAAGTGAAAAGCAAGAGGAATTATATTATTACAATATATACAAAAGAAGCAACTGAAAACATTTAACAAAAATTCATGATTTAAAAAATACATTGTTACCATTCTAGCAATAAAAAAAAAAACCTACCTGATTCTGATAAGGAGTATCTATAATAGATCTTCAGCAAATATCACCCATATAATGGTGAAGTTTTGAAAAATTTTCTTCTGCAATAATAAAGAAGATAAAGATGTAATTTTACTGCTACTTCTATCAGTATTATATTACATGTCCTAACCAGTCTAATGATGAAAGAAAAATATAA